TCCGCGCGCAGGATCGGCGCACGCGTTCCCAGGACAATCGTTGTTGCTCGCTTCTCGCATGCGCATGGGAGAGAGGATGCCTGCTTGGGACAATTGCGTCCCGACGCCAGTGCATGCGACCCGAAGGGTGTTGCCTAGGAAACCCATGGCCATAATTGCATTGCAGTGTATCGCGCTGGCTGCTGTCGAGTCCCTTGAGAGGCGAATTGCGTTCATGCCCTGATCCCTGGACTTGTGCGCCGATGATGTAACCGTATCTATTCGCGGTTAGCTATCCAAGGTTTGCGACTGGTCCCTCGAGGTTTTGAATTTGCTTGCGCACGTTCTCCGTGCCTTGGGATCGCCGCCAGCCTCGCATACAATGGAAGTTACCAGTCGTATCCCCAAGCTTGGTCAATGGAGTTGTCATCGCTTGGGACCTCTGGCTTATGAGTGCGCGTCCGCACTGGAAGTCTTGGGGGTCGAGGTGGCCCCAGGAAGGGTCTTGCGTTTCACCGGGCTCAGGCAACGCGTGAGGGGCGCCGATCAAGGATGGCAGAGATTCCGCACGTTGAAGAATGTAGGCGCCTCCTTACGAAGTTCGCGAAGCAGGCGGTGTCCCCGGCCATCGCATACGGTCTCGGCGTGCATTGTGCGCCGCCTCGCTTAGTTGATCAGATGTGAACATGCCACAGGACGGCATGGTACTCACCAGGTGCTGGCACGTCTTGTTGGCTGTCAGCGTGCTTACAAGGCTCGATGTACACTGACCCTAGGTGGATGCCTGGGCCGCGCCGCTATATCAATGGGCCCTGTTGCATCGCGAAAAGGACGTGCCGCATGACGTCTTACAAGCAGCTTGGCGCACCCAGATACGAAACCTATCCGCAAGGGCTTCGCCCCCTGCCGCTGGCCCCCTCGCTTGGATAATGGGCAATGCAAGAGCGAAATCATGAGGCGTTGGCGCCGCCGTGAAGCAGCGTCGGGACTTCGCGCGACGACGATGAGTAATCGGCAAGACAACTTGAGATTATGATGATATTATTTGACTTCGGTGTTGTACTTCGATGGATTACGGCGTCGGATACGCGAGTCGCGCGTAATTTGCGAGGGCGTATGGCTTCGGGATCGCATATATTGCGTAATTCACGCAGATTTATGGCTTCGGAGACGCGAACATTGCGTAATTTACGAAGATGTATGGCTTCGGGCACGCGACTATTTGACAATTTACTCGGGTTTATGGCTTCGGAGTCGCAAGCATTGCGTCATTTACGCAGGTTTATTGTTTCGGAGACGCGAATATCGGGTAGTCCGCGAAGGTTCATGGTTTCGGGGGCGCGAATATTGATTTACTAGCGTTTGTGGCCTCGGGGACGCGAGTATTGCGTAATCTACGAGGGTTTATGGTTTCGGGGGCACGAACATGGCGTATTTTGCGAAGGGTTGTAGCTTCGGGGATGCGAATTTCGCTTAATTCACGAAGGTCCATGGCCTCGGGGACGCGAATATGGCGTCATTAATTCGGGTTTGTGGCTTCGGGGGTGCGAATTTCATATAGTTTTAAATGTCCCAGGCCTTCCCTTCCCCCCCCCCCACGCCTCCGCCCCGGAAATTCAGAGCGCCCGACTCGGGCGCGGCAATTCGGCCCCTTCTGGGCCCCCCCCCTTCGCCCGGCCCATCAACAAGGAACGGTGAGCAGCAAGAAGCAGAGTTTGTAACAGTGGAAGCTGGAAGCTGGAACTAGCGCAGGGAAAGGCAAACCTTTGTCCTACAGCCTGGTGGCCCCGCAAGGGGGCCGGCGGATCTAACGCTAAGTCCCCCTGGCAGCGCGTTGCTGGCCCCGCCGGGGCTACTCGGATGGCCCTCGAGGACCTCCGATGGACCTCATCAACTCGATCCTTGTGGTGCACCGATTCGGGGACTGTCTTGGGCATGCGACGCGACGCCCCAGCCACCATGCACATCGTGGCCCGCGAGGCCGCTGTGCGCAGGCTCTGGGAGAGATGATCATCGCGGAGCCCGTCATGAGGCCCCCTTAATATGATCACCACCCCCGACTCTGGTGGCGACTCCGATCAGGGCCCTGATGACCCGGACCAGGGCCTTGAGGCCGACGTCAACACAGCAGATTTCCTTGGGGCAGGCTCCGTGCCCCGACGCGGCTGGCAACATGATTTCAAGGAGGGAGTTCTCCTTCGTGCCCTCCTCGCTGGCGGCCGTTTGGCGCCAGAAAGGCTCTACCATTGCGGCGGCAGGGCGGGCTCGTGCTGCCCGCGTTGGGGGCAGGGAGGATGCGATATCTATCGCATCGTCTGGCAGTGCCCTCACTTGCAGTCCGAGGGGGGCGAGTTCCTTGCCACCTTTGGTGCTCGTGGTTCCCCAGTGCAGTCAGTCACCGACTGGCCTCTCGCGGTCGCGAGGGTTTGTCAGTCGAGGCTGTATCCCACCGTTGCCGCCGAGGGATGACGATGCCAGATGGGCCGTGATGCACGGGGACCCTCATGGCATATTTGGTCATATATTCATAGACACACACATATATATATATACATGGATGTGTAAATATGTATGTACGTATGTATATATACATATATATGCATACACACTGATGGTGCGTGCTCTAAGTTATGGTGCTGGTCTGGGTCGGCCATGGCTGGATGGGGCTTTGCACGGCTTCGTGGAGCGAGACAAAGCATCGACACCCTCTTTTACGGGGCCCTGCCAGGCCCGTTGCAATCTTCTCTTAGGGCCGAACTGCATGCCTTCCTCCAGGTCCTGCAGGTCTGCCTTCTCCCAGTCGCAGTCCACGCGGACTACGAAGGTCTTGCGGATGGTCTCAGCAATGCCCCCCTGTGGCGCCGTGCCCCAAGGCGCCTGCATACGGACATCTGGGAGGCAATTTGGGCTAGGATCTCGGACCAAGGGGGGGGGGGGGGGGGGGGGGGGGGGGGGGGGGGGGGGGGGGGGGGGCGTCGGCGTCGCCCGCGCCAGGGTCCATCAGCGTGGGAGTTCCACTCGCGCCTTTGACAACAGATGGGCGGACTTCGTGGCCTGTTCGGGTCGCGACATCCATGATATGCCTAGAATTGATCGTAGAGCGGTGAACATAGCTTGAACGCAGTACCGCCAGTTGCACCGCTGGAGCTGCGACTTGCAAAGCTGCGACACGGATGTTGGACGGCCAGGGGGTTGAAACCCGCCCACGTCAGTGACGTCGCACGAGGCCTAAGATGGCGAAAGCGGCGACCTCGCCAGAGGGCTCTGTCAAGCTCCGACATGCTTTCCGCCCAGTTGGTCGCACTTTGTGGATATGTGAATACTGTAAGCTAGGCTCAGTGAGAGGTCCCGTGTTCGTCTCTTCCTGCTTGCCTGCCCTGCTCGGTTTCGCGCAGCCAAAGCCGCTACCGCTGCGGCTGAGTCTGCCTCTGCCGTCGGTCCGCTTGGCGACGCCTCGGGCGGCCAGGTCAGCGGAGGCTCGCAAGACCGTAGCGGTAGCGCTCTTGGCGTTGCTCCTTACGGTGGCCACCCTTCCTCCGCCTTGGGTTTTGTTCGTTCGGTTCGGCCTCGCACTGGGCCTCTCGGGCCCGAGGAGGCGGCGCCTTTTTTCCCTTGGCCTTCGAGGGTCCCGAGGTCTGCCTTCCCAGAGCTAGGAGCGCCAAGTTCGTCCTTGGGTCGGTTTCGAGCCGACTTTCTGTGTCAAAAATCCCGTCCCCGAAGAACGAGATCGACTGGTCCACAGCATACCTGAGAGAGAGGGGCCTGCTTTTCAACCTGACAAGCGTAGGAGGTTTGGCGGCCAACGTAGGGATCGACCTACGCTGGCCGCCGCCACTACGGTGCCCGCGTGTGCCTTGCCTGGAACGGGTCCCGCCCCCGCCCTTGCGGCCAGGGGCTATCGGCTTTGGGTCTCGTCGGGGCACGTGTGCTTGTGTGTTTACTGATTGTTTTTCACCACTGGCACGGCGGGCCGCCTACTTGTACATTGCCCGTTCTCCGGTGCTGGCCATCGTTTTTCGGGGAGGGCTGTCCGAAACAGGAAGCAGTTTTAAGAGTGCTTTCGTCCCGCGGACGCCCGCCAGCGTCGTATCCTCCTCCTCCTCCTCCTCCTCCTCCTCCTTCTCCTCCTCCTCCTCATCCTCCTCCGTCGTCTCCTCCCTCACCTTATTCTTCTTCCGTTTATTATTATTGTTATTGTTATCATTGTTTAGTATTAGTATTATCAGTATTAGTATTATTATTATGATTGATATTATTAGTATTATTATTATCATTATTATTATTAATAATAATATTAGTATTAGTATTATTATTATCATTATTATTATCATTATTATGATTATTACTATTATCATTATTATTATTATTATTATTATTATTATTATTATTATTATATATGTGTTATTAGTATTATTATTATTAGTATTAGTATTATTATTATTATTATTATTATTAGTATTGTCATTATTATTATTAGTATTATTATTAGTATTATTATTATGATTATTATTATTATTATGATTATCATCCTCATCCTCTTTCTCCTCCTCACCTTCCTCCTTTTCCTCCTCCTCCTTTTCCTCTTCCGTCGTCTGCTCCTCCTCCTCCTCCGCCGTCTCTTCCGCCGTCTCCTCCTCCTCTTCCGCCTCCTCCTTCTCCTCCTCCTCCTCCTCCTTTTCCTCCCTCCTCCCTCGTCCCTCCTCGTCCCTCCTCCTCCTCCTCCTCCTCCTCCTCCTCCTCCTCCTCCTCCTCCTCCTCCTCCTCCTCCCCCCTCCTCCGCCCTCCTCCTCCGCCTCCTCCTCCTCCTCCTCCTCCTCCTCCTCCTCCTCCTCCCCCTCCTCCTCCTCGTCCTTTGTCATCCTCCTCCTCCTCCTCTTCCTCCTCCTCCTCCTCCTCCTCCTCGTACCTCTCCTTTTCATCATCCTTCTCCGCCTTCTCCTCGTCCTCCTCCCCCACCCCAACCATGTACCGCCGGTTCTCCCCTTACTGAGCAGCGGCGGCGGTGCGGGCTCCCGGTCCAGGTGGAGATCGCCACCGGCATGACCAGGGGCGCAGAGCGCGCGGAGGCGCAGCCTGAGGAAAAGGGGGTGGCCAGCTTCATCACGAGCCGCGTCGCGAAGGCCAGAATGAGGAAGGAGGGAGGAAGATTGGCCACGCGCAGAGGAGCGCAGGGGGAGGGGGGTGGTCTTCTTGGAAGGAGGCTGCTTTTTAGAAGGCGCGGACCTTGTCTATAGATGTAGGGCCCTCCTCCTAAGACGCCTTCCCCCCTCCCCCCACATCCCCTTGTGCGCGCCGCCAGGAAGATGAGGAAGAGAAGGAGAAGGAGGAGGAGGAGGAGGAGGAGGAGGAGGAGGAGGGGGAGGAGGAGGAGGACAAGGAGGAGACGCAGCATGAGGAGGAGGAGGCGGAGGAGGAGGAGGAGGGAGGAGGAGAGGAGAAGCAGCAGAGGAGGAGGAGGAGGAGGAGGAGGAGGAGGAGGAGGAGGAGATGAGAGGAGAAGGAGAGGGAGGAGGAGGAGGAGGAGGAGGAGGAGGATCGCACTTCACTGAAGGAGGACGAGGGGGAGAGGTCCGACGGTCCAGCCGAAAGCCCATGAGGGGGGGCCGATCGGAGAGGACCGTTTTGCCTCCACGGTGCGGCCTTCCGCCAACCGCACCGTGAGCCAGCGACACGCGCCCCCCCCCCCCCCCCCCAGGAACAAGAGCTCTGCAGGTCATCCTGCCCCTTCTCCTTGAGGCGGCTGCCCCGACCTCGAGCCCCATCTCCGTTCAGACCGACCGCGTGGAGGCAGCCTGCAAGGCACGGCTCATGCCTCTTGGCCCTGGACGACGGCCCGCGGAAGCCTGTGCTGCCGGCCCCGACAGGCGGGGCCGAGCCTACGGCTCCACGAAGGATCCCCCTCCTCCTCGTCCTCCTCGTCCTCCTATTCCGCCTCCTCCTCCTCCTCCTCCTCCTCCTCCTCCTCCTCCTCCTCCTCCTCCCAATGTGTTGGCTCCGTTAGGGTACTTCCCACGCGCGAAGGGGCCTTTGTTCTTCTTGCCTGGCCCCGCTGGCGCCGCAGTGGCCCCCCAGGCAAGAAGAGCTGAGGCCCCTGGGTGGCGACTGGGAGCTGCACCCGCCTTGGCTAGACTGTCTGCCTCTGGGTTGCCGTCCCTCTCGAATGTCGAGATCCGTCCGTTGTGGAAACTGCCTGAATGGAATGAACCAGTACTCCAGATTTCGTAATAAAAGGGAGGGGGTCTCAACCCTTCCAGACGAGAAGTTTTAGACCCCCCCGTGGGAGAACCCTCCAAAACATCGTCCCCAGACCCCCCCAGGCCCTCCAAGATAGCCTGGAAGAGACCCCCCCCGAAATTAGACCCCCTCCCTTCTATTACGAAATCTGGAGTACCTTTCTTCGCCGGCGAGCGAGGGGGGGAAGTGAGAAGGGGCCGGCCTTCTCAGAAGGCTCGGAAGTCCCCCGGCCTGCTGAGAAGTTTTCTACGCCTTCCCCGAAGGCGCAGAGTGCTTCTCGAAAGGCGCTAGGGCTTCTGAGAAGTCCCGCCGCCTGCTGAGAAGGCCTTCGCCTTCTCGTTTCCCTTTCTCGCTCGCCGCCAATTTTTGGCGGGGAGCTGCTCGCTCTCCCCCCTCTCAGGCAGTGTGCCGAGCGAAAGGCACAGCGGTTGCTCTGGCAGCCCTGGGCCGTGCCACGGCAGTCCGAGTAGGCAGCGGACTCGCCACCGGTAGAACGAGTGGCCACCGACATCGCACACGGGCCAGCCTCCAACGTACTCCAGATTTCGTACTAAAGGGAGGGGGGTCTCATTTCGGGGGGGTCTCTTCCAGGCTATCTTGGAGGGCCTGGGGGGGTCTGGGGACGATGTTTTGGAGGGTCCTCCCACGGGGGGGGGGTCTGAAATGGCTTGTCTTGGAGGGTCCAGACCCACTCCCTTTTATTACGAAGTCTGGAGTAGGCAGCGGACTCGCCACCGGTCGAACGAGTGGCCACCGACATCGCACACGGGCCAGCCTCCAAAGTAAGGAGAAAGCGCTTTCCGAGGCTACCCTCTGCACCCGTTCCCTTCGGCCCCTCCTCGGCCGCTCGCGCCGGCCACGCCCCGCTCGCACAGAGTGTGGACGTGGCCTTCCGAGGCCCTTGCATCCTCATCGCGCGTCCTTGCTGCATCACGGGCCAACGGAGGAACAACCACCCTGCTCGATTCCTTCTTTGGGTGCGTCTGCGAAACGGCTTCGCGTGCTGGGATGATTATTTATTATGAGTGTGGATTTCCCGCTCTCTACCGCAGTCCTCGCCGTCGCGGGCCACCCGATCCGGGCACCCGCGCGGGGGGACCGACCCGAGCCAGGGGTGCCCCTGGGCGACGCTCGTGGTCGCTGGTGGCCGCACCCCTCCCTGCCCTGCAGGAAAGGAGAGGGCAGGGCTGGACCTAAACGCTGTTTTGCTGGACTTCGGCTGTGTTTTGTTCGTCGTTTTGGGAGGGAGGTGCAGGAAAACAGGTAGAGCAAAACGAGCAACAACACGAGGGGAACCGACCAGCTATAATATTGCTTTTCTTTAGATCCAGGCGAGTTTACTTGCATGGACGGGTGAGGGGGGCCTGAGCCTGAAGCAAGCCGAAACAATTCGACGTGCGGAAATCACGCAAGTCAAATGGTTCTTGCACGCTCGTATTCGATTGAAGAGGGGCGAGAGGGGGGGGCGAAGCGAACACCATGCAAGTAAGCCTGCCTGGGTCTAAAGAAAAACAGGCTCTACGGGCCCGAGCCGTTACTAGATCAGAGCGCGGCCTCCTCGACGCAGGAGCTGCGCCGCCCCCGCGCGCGACCCTGATCTCCAAGGAGGAGTGCCTCGTCTGGGCCTCCTAGATGGGGTTCGAGCAGATGGGGTCGGAGGACCGCGCCGCACCGCCGATGCATCGCCGATGCGGATCGATGTGGAGCCCGATGTTCTCCACGCCGACGGCGCCGGTGCATCGCCGACGTCGCCGGTGAATGCCGATGCATCGCCGATGTATCGGCGATGCATCGCCGATGCGGCGCGATCCGCCGATCCCATCCAGGGGCGCTACGTCGTGCCTCCTCCTGTCCCCCCCAAAATACCCATAATGCCCGTTATGGCCGCGGAAAAAAATTAGCCTGGCGAAAGACCCAACCATATGCAGTTGAGAGTACCGCCGTTGTGAATCTCGTCTTCGGTGGAGCTCCCTATGAAGCCAAGAACCGTATGAGGGGCGTGCCGACGCGCGGCCGGGTACGCAACACGGAAGAAAACGACAGGTCTGACAACGAGAGCGGGTGAGTCTGAGCACGAGTGTGTCTGATTGTGCATGAGTCTGCGTGCGAGTGAGTCTACGTGTATGACTATCGACGCCCATGTCGGCACGCCCGTCGCGTGGATCGCCCCCCCGGCCCCCCCCGCCCCCCCCCCCCCCTCTCTTGTTGTTCCCTCTTTGCCCGCGCACTCCAGTGTCCCAGGCTGCGGGCGCAGCGCAGCGCGGAGTCCCCGCGACGCGCGCTGGTCGCCCCGAAGGGGTCCCAGCAACGCACGCGGGGCGTCCGTTGCGCGGAGCAAAGCGAACTAGCTGGCTGGCTGAGAGCGGGCAAGGCTTTGGCCGCCGGGCACAGCGACGATGGGCGAACGAGGCGCTGGGCAGTGCGCAGCACGGAGTCCCCGCGACGCACGCTGGTCGCCCCGAGAGGGTCCCAGCGACGCGCACGGGTCGTCCGCGGCGCCAGGCCGAACTGTTGGACAACCTGGATGTGACGCGGCTCGGGTGGGCCGCTCCCCAGGTCAGACCTCGCGGATAACCTCGGTGAAGCCCAGCTCTCTGGCGAGGGCTGCCGCCTCCCTCCTGCGCCGCTTCGTGCTCGACGCAAACTGCTCCAGCTGCTTCCGTAAGCCCTCCGGCGGCCCTGCCAGGAAGAAATCGATGGGCGGCGCCCGCATGGGCAGGAGGTCCTCGCGGCGCGTGGCGCGCGAGAGCAGCACGTAAAGCTCCAGCCACCAGTCGTCGTCGTCGTCGTCGTCGTCGTCCTTCTTGCCGTTCCCGATCTCGTGGCGGCCGCAGTCCAGGATCACGCCTGGGCGACGTCGGCCGAGAGAGCAGCTCGCGGGACAGCCGACGGCCCAAGGCGAGAGCCCACAGAACCGCAGAAAGGTCTGGCTGCGGACCGCTCGTGCCCAGGAGGTTTGGCCGTGGACTGCCGGGGGGGGCGCTGTTCCCCCGCCCCGTCGCCTTCTCGCATGGTGCGCCCTTGGCACACCACCGCGGCGATGACCCTGCCGTGCGAGAGCGGGAAGCCCGTCCGGGTGACTTTGGAGGTGCGGAATGTGAACGGCTCCGGCGTGCGGGGCTCGACGAGCACCAGCGGGCCCGTCAGGTCCCCCGTGAGGGTGTCGTCGTGGCGCTTCAGGTCGTCCACGAAGGGCGCGCTCGCGCACTTCTCCATGCAGACCCAGAACCCCAGCGGCAAGTGCTTCAGATAGATCTTCTTCTCCCCGCCTCTCTCGGCCCTTTCGGCGTCGCCCCGATCCCGAGGGTCCACGACGATGTGCGCGATCTGTCCCTCGGCATCCTTGACGAGGCTGCTTTTGAGGTCCAGCGCGTCCAGGAGCCGGATCCGCATGCCCACGTGCACTTGGAACAGTCCGTGCATGCCACCGGTGTTCTCCGGGTTGGCACAGTTCATCATCTTGGCGGTGTCCTTGGCGTTCATCGTCGGGGCAGATCTGTGGGCAGCCTGCACGAGGAAGAGGGGCTTCATCAGGGCGTCCGCGCCCCGCTGGGCACGCATGTTTATCCACCGCGCCACGGTGTCCCAGTATGACCCAATCATGCGGCCGTTCTGGAACCTTTCCTCCCAGAGTCGGCGATCATCGGGTTTCAGCTGCAAGGCGTTCCACGCGGCCCGGATGGCTGGAGGGACGTGCTTCCCCGGTTTGCGCGAGAACGCCTGTCCGCCCCCCCCCTCCCTCCTTTTTTCTTCTCATCATCATCATCATCATCATCATCATCATCATCATCCTCTTCATCACCATCGTCGTTGCAATCATATTTGGCATTACCAGCCCCATCATCACCATCATATTCAACGTGCTCGTCATCGTCATCGTCGTGCC